GAGTGAACTGTGGCCCTGGGGTGGATTGCGATCCTGGAGTGGACTGCGACCCTGGAGGGGACTGTGACCCTGGAGGGGACTGTGACCCTGTGAATAGCAGGCCATTCACCCTGCACTGTTCACCAGCCCTTAGGTGCACACACCCACCCCAGACCACCCCGCCTTGGGCCTTAGCCACACCTGACTCGCCCTGCACGTGGCCTTATAGCAGGATGGCTGGCCACATCGCCAAGCAAGGACAAATGCACCGGCCCGGAGAGTGGGGCTCATTCCCGCAGCCTGCGGTCAGCATTGCCAAGACCACAGGAGGGCGGTGTAAGCAGATGCCAGGCAGCCACAGGACTGGACCCCTGACTGCTTGCTGTCAGCTGGCCTGGAAAAGTTGTCCCAGACCTGCTGGGGTGCCTGGGGTCCCAGGGCTATTTCAGAGGACAGCCCTGTCCAGAGGGTGACTACTAGGGACGTCTACCTGAGACCCGGATGGACCTGCCCTTCTTTCCGGAAGGCCATCCATAGATCTGGGCCTCCTGACCAAGCCCAGGGCTGGCCCTCCTTGCTGTCAAGTTCTGGCTGAGTCAACCAGAGGGCAGGTGTGGTGGGGCCCACAGACAAGGAAGAGCTAACCAACACAGACAGACAGACCCCCAGCTGAGGAGGAAAGGAATTGCCAGCCACCTGCACACTGGACGAGAGGCTGACAGAGCTTCATGGTGACCTGGGTTGAGGGAAGGGGCGGGGGGGAGGGGGTGTGGACCAGTGGATGAGATGAGTGGTGGCCAGGTGGATGAGAGGATGGGCTTGTAGACAGGCAGATGGATGGGTGGACAATCTGATGGCTGGTGACCAGGAGGGTGGATGGAGCAGAGGAAGGAGGGAGGACTCATGTCAGGACACCAGGCAAAGGCCGAGAAAGACAACATCTCACTCCATCAGGAAAATAACACCATTTTTAAAAATAGAATGTTCGAGAGTTTGAACTATTTACAGGACAACCTGACACAGGTACCAGGAGGGAATGATGGGTGAGATACATCTGCTTGTGTGTGGGAGGGATGCCCCAGGCTGATGGGCACGGCTCCTGGGCAGCCCTCTGTGTTCCCTGGGGTCAGCTGACCATCCAGGTGGGGTGAGGCCTCCACAGGAGGTGGGGGGCCCTGGAAGACATGGCCTCTTCAGCTCTGGGGCTTCTTGGGGGGCTGTGCCTGCTGTAGGTCTGGGCTGAGCTGACCCTGAGAGGCATGTCCACTGCAAATGCGGTCCCTCGAGGGCTGCGGGACGGCTCACTGTTCAGCACGTGCCAGGCCACCTGCAGCCCAAGGCCCGAGGCCTCGCCCCTCACCCTCAGGTCCAGCATGGCGTCCAACAGCAGGAGACTGGTAAATGCTGGGCAGTGAACCAGGAAAGAGGTCATCCCCTGCCCATGCTGGATAGACAGGGCACCCCTCTTCTGCAGGAGGCCGAGCTCTCCATCCTGAGGGGATAGGGCACCCCTCTGCTGCAGGAAGCCCAGCTCTCCATCCTGGGGTGGACAGGGCACCCCTCTTCTGCAGGAGGCCGAGCTGTCCTGGCTGGGCTGGACCCTGGCCTTGAGCCTGGACTGTCACGGGCACCGAGTGGCCATGAAGTGTTGGCTCAGGGCTGCGGGCGCCTCCGCTCCAGCTCGGCCAGCCGCTCCTCCCGGGCCTGCGCATGCCGCGTGCCCACCCTGTGCGCCATCTCGGTGGCCGTGATGTCGATAAGTGCGTACCTGGACGTGCTGGCCCCTACAAGTGGGTGGGGGTCAGTAGCTGCCCAGGCCCGGGACCCCCACCCCTGAAACATGGCAAGGGGAGGGTCACCGATGGGGCGAAGACTTGGGGCCCATGCTCACCTCGGATGCCCGGCCCAGCGCCTTGCAGCTCCAGGCCCAGGTAGTGTAGCTGCCCCCCAGCCGAGGGGCTGACCGGCAGATTCACGTAGGTGGGTGACGCGCTGTCCCTGGGGCCCATGGTTCCTGCAGGGGAGGATGAGGCCGGGGGTGCTGACCATGACTGCACAGCTGCTGAGTCTCCCATCTCGGGGTCGGCGCCCCGTCCAGCCCTGCTACACCCTCCCAGACCCTGACCACGGGACTCACCAGACCCCAGGTCACTCAGCATCACAGGACGATGCAGCACCAGCCCCAACCCCTCAGATGACACCCCCTCAGTCATCCTTCGTCCTGCCTTGCCCCTGCCCCGCCCCCACGTCCTGGCCTCTCCTTTTCGTGCAGTCTAGTAACCCCATAACCATCATGCTTAGCCCCTCAGAAAGTTCCCAGAGGGAGCAGCAAGCCAGTGTGCACTGACCATTGCCTGGCCTCACTACACAGCTGGACAGTCCCAGGTCACTGTCCCTGGCCACTCTGCTGGACTAGACATGCTGTCACTGTCCCTGCTGACACTGCAGGGCCAGGTACTCAGGTAATTGGCAAAGTTCCTGGCCACCCACAGGGCTGGACACACAGTCCACGGTCACGGTCCCTCTCTGGGGAAGCCCCCTCACTCACACACATCTCTCCCCAGCTGGCGCCCACCCAGTCACCACATCACCCTTTGCCTAACCCTAGTCCTAACCCTCACTGGACCACCCACAGAGGAGTGGCCGGGGCCTCGGGGGTCGGGGTGGAGAGGGGGGCTTACCTGCACGCAGTGCCAGGAGCCCGGGCGGTGAGGCAGCCGCTCCCTGGACCAGAGAGAGCCCCGTGAGAATGTCACCTGACCCCTTATATCCCGTACCCGGAGCCCAACCCCCATGGAAACGAGCCAACCTGCTGGGCCCCTGACTCCCCTCAACTCATCACTGGCAGTGCCAGCCCTCCCGGGCCCAGCCCACATGCAGCCACCACCCATGGGTCCTGGGGGTTGGATATCTTGAGCGACGTGTGTGTTTACTGGGCCCCTGAGTGAAGCCACAGCCGGCCGGTACAAGCAGTCCTCGAGGGCACGGAGCCGGGAGTGGCTGCCCTCTGGGGACCTGGCGTGACCTGCAAAGCCACCTCACACTGGGCCTCGTGCAGGGAAGGTGGTAGAGGTCTCAGCTCAGCAGAGGTTCAGCGGCTCTGTCTACCCGGAGGTGCCCAGGATGAGGGAGGCCTGGTGACCCCTGGGGGGGCACAACCGCCCTCAAAGGTGTGTCAGTGTCACTCCAAGCTCTGGATCTAGGAGACAGGGCTGGAGAGGTAAGCACTGTACCCTCAGAGCCCTGGGTGGGGGCCCAGTGCAGGTTGTGAGACCCCCAAAGGAGAGGGCCTTACAAGGCCCAGGACCAGGAATTTGAGCACCTCCAGGCCGGGGACAGGCACCCCCGGTTCTGGAACCAGGGGAGCCTTGGGGTGGAGACAGGAGTCTGGACCTGGGTGTGAAAGTGGGCCTGGCATGGGGAGGGGACCCCAGCAACCAGAGCTGAGCTGGGCCAATGCAGGTAGATGGGTAGCTACCTGTCTTGCCCATGCCACCTCTTCTGGAGATGGACCTGGTCCAGGAAGGGACATAGATGCTGTGACGGACATGTTCCCACACACTCTCCGGCCTCCCAGAAGCTGATGACCCAGGAAAACGACCGGTCTTTCCCCAGCCACTGCCCTCCTCGCTGGGAAGGGGGTCCAGTCCTCCATAAAGCAGGAAATCCCCCACACCCACCTTTAGGAGAACACAACAGGGATCTTGGGGTCTGTGTGTGCCCCAGGGATGCCACATACTTTTGGGGACCAGCTTTCTGCAGGTTGACATAAACCCAAATGCTAATATTTGTCAGATAAAGCAGAGGCCTGAGGTCAGGGGAGGTTTGTCTGGTTTCCCTGGTCCAGGAGGACTGAGGCTGGGCCACCACCTGGGGGTGATGTCACTGGGGTGGGGTGGGGCACCCTGCACGTTGCACTGCAGCCATGTCCCTGAGTCACCAGTCTCCCCAGGAATGAAGCAAAGCATAAGTAGAGGACGAAGTGGCCCCTCATGGAAAGCTTTTCCTGCGGGGAGGCTAACCACTCATCCTGGGACCACCAAGGCTGGAGGAGGAGGCAGAGGTCCTCTCCTCTTCAGACTCAATGGCCAGGGCCCCAGCAGCGCCCCCAGGGTCACCGTGTGAGGGGTGGAGGCTAGATAGATGCTCCTCACCCTGTGTGGTACCCCCTGCTCTCGGCCCTGCCTGGCTGCCCCACTGAGGTGACCCAGGACCACAGCTGCACATGCGCTTCCACCCCCTCATGTCTCAGCCTGTGCCTCCCCTAGGCCAGCAGGGGGTGGGGCCAGGCCCTGATGGCCAGCAGAGGAGTGGACACTGGATGGAACCCCAGGACTCACAGCCCCCTGCCTTCCTCCAGCTCAGCAGGGGAAGGGCACAGGAAGGGGCTCAGGAGGCCCGACCTGCCTGCAGGCCTGTGCCAGGAGCTTTGGCCTTTGCTTCAAGAAAAAGGTGAAGGAGTGGAGAGCGGCCCGGTGGAAACTCTGCTGGTGGTGTGCTCATGGAACACCTGCACATACTTCCCCTAAGACCTCCTGAGCACAGCCCAGCGAGGCATGGGCCATTCCCACCTTATGGAAGAGGAAACTGAGGCTCAGAGAGGTGTCGAGACTCCCCTGGGATCACCTGACCAGGAGGGTAGGGTAGCTCACTCGCAACTCCACACTGCCCTAACCTTAGCCAGTCAGCAGGAATCCAGCCCTGATGGAGGGCGGGGCAGGAAGGGCAGGGCTCAAGGGCAGAATCAGGACCAGGTGTCCCTCTCACTTGGATATGGGGAGCCTCACGCCTGAGCCCAAGGGACCAGCAAGGAGTGCTCAGATCACAGGAACATAGCACTTGTATGCACACATGCACACACATGCATGTATGAATGACCATGCATATGCGCATGCATGTACATGCACACACTAATACACACCCTTAAACCCATGCATACACGTGCACACGCACACGAATTCATGCTCACGCACACATATACACTCGTGGGCACATTTGCACACACACTAATGCACGCCCTTACACCCATGCATGCACGTGCACGTGCACACTAACACATGCTCACACACACACATACACTCATGGGGACATTTGCACACATGCACTAGTGCATGCACGTGCACACATATACACTCATTATGCACATGTACGCCTTCACAGCCATTCACACATATGCATGCACACACATCCCCCGACAGCATTCACATGCACATGGGCGTTCACAGCCATGCGTACCTACAATGTGCAAATCAGCCACACTCAATCCCTGGTCCACATATGTACATGCATATACATGCAAGCACATACAGGTCACACACTCCACCCTGATCCCCCCATATATGCCACGGCAAGTGTATTCATAATATGCATGCACACATATCAACACACGTGCTAACATGCATGCAATCATACACACACGTGCTAACATACATGCAGTCATGCACACACAGGCATGCGCTCACACCTCTCACACTTAGCCTTTGGTGCACGAAGCATGCATGTGCACACACACATGCATCCATGAACCTGCAACCATTAATTCAGCCTGTTGCTCATATGCATGTAAACACTATTACACACGTGTGCACACACTCACACTCAGGAATGTGGCCATTCACATAATTGCTGGTCCACATGTGCATGCACACAGCATGCATGCATATGCACATATATGCACACATAGCACACGTGCACACACTACCTGCAAAGCATTCAGGCTTTAGACAAAGCAAGACAGAAAGCCCTGTGCTGAGGGCCAGGGCCACTCTCTGTGACCTGCAGGCCCAGGGTGGCCAGGCCCCTGAGGAGTCCAGCCCAGGACCAAGTGGGGAGCCAGGCAGGGAGGCAGAGGGAGCTGGCCAGATGGAAAAGACAAGGTCTTAAGAAAAGATAATTTTATTTCAAGTCTCCAAAGGTGTTACAAAGTGTCAGGTTTAAAGTGTAAAAGAGCAACATGGTCAACCACACAGAGTTGAAGCAGGTGTCTCCAAAGGCAACGTGGCCCTGGGCAGAGCCAGGTGGGCTTCCAGAGCAAGATGGACACAGGACAGGCTTCCTAGCACGTCTAGAGCCACACGTCCACGGTGCAGGTAGCACGAAGCGGCTGACATTCCATGCAGCTGGGGTGACCACACAGGCTCCCCACTTCAGACTGACATCCCTGGAGAAACCCCACCTTCCCCATCACCCACACCTCCCCATGGTCCTAGTGACCAGCTTCTGCTCCCCAGAGTGACCGGCAAGAGCAGGCTGGGAGGTGGTCTTTCCTGATCTGCTAACCAGATACACAGCATAGCTGAGTGAGTGGCCAGGGACCCTGCCCTACCCCTCCCCAGGGAGCCCTCAGGGGCTCAGGGGAACCTAGTGTGGAGTGAGTGGCCAGGGGTCCAAACCAGGCCCCAGAGTTACCAGACCTTGAGTATTATCAGTTTCCTTCCCATAAGGTGGGGAGTCCATGCCCCCTCCCCTGCATGGGCATGAGAATCTCATGGAAGAAGGGCTGCCCGGCCTGAGGCTGCAGAGGGCTCGGGCTCAGCCCTGATGCTGATGCTGTCTGCAGAGGCTCAGCACTCATCCTGATACTTATGCTGTGAGTCCAGATCTGCAGAGACTCTGCACTCATGCTAGGAACCCAGGGCTGCAGAGGGCTCAGCACTGATAACTGCGCTGATGCTATGAGCCCAGGGCTGCAGAGAGCTGAGCACTGATGCTGGTGCTTTGAGCCCCTGGACTGCAGAGGAGCTGGGCTCAGCACTGATGCTGGTGGACCTGGGCTGTGAGGACCATCTCAGCGGCTGGATGCTGGACACATTAAGGCCACCAGGAGGAAAATCCATGAGTCAGTTCCGAGAGGCGGTGATGGCGCTGGGAGAAGCTCTTTGTCCACTCAGTCAGTGAGGGCAGCACAGCCCCCAGAACCCTAAGGTGGGAGCCTACAGCACCTCCTGAGGCCCCAGGTCCTACTCCAGAGCCTTGTGGTTCTGGCACACAAGCAGGAAGGCTGGGCCCAAGCCCTGCTTCCTGAGTGTCTCCACCCCGAGCCCCTGCTCTACGTGCAGAGGACCTGCCAGCTCTCCAGGCACTCAGCCAGCCCCAGACGGCTCAGGAGACTGGGGCTTCCCACAGCCCAGAACAGAGAGGTCCTGTCGGAGGCCAGCCCCCTCCTCGTCCATCCAAGGGGCCAGAGGATGCCTAGGCAGTGGGGCCTTCAGGGAGGGGGCCTTACCTTGTACCCCCCACAGACAGGGCACACGGAAAAGCCAGCTGGGCTAGGCCCTGCGTGGGCACCACCAGTCTCCCATGGCTCGCTGGATGCTGGGCTGGACGGTGTGGCCTCTGCCGCCTGCCCCCACCGTTCTGTGCCTGGCCAGGCAGAAGAGCACCCCTCGGCCGAGTCCCCGGTAGTGGTGACAGCTGTCCCTCCATCGGAGCCACCCTGCATGGCCAGGCCCTGGTCCCTAGGCGCCTGCCGAAGGCTGCGAGGTGTGTCATAATGTGGTCGAGGGACCCCGGGCACCTGGTACTCCGCCGCCCAGGGGGCTGTGCCAGGAGGGCAGGTGCACAGGCGGGGCTCAGGGGCTCCGGGTGCAGGCGGCAGGCTGAGCAGTGAGCCAAAGTCCTCGGGGGCTGGCCACACGTCCAGGCTGCTGCCCGCGTAGGATGAGAAGCTGCCGGAGCAGGACGAGTGGCTGCCGGTGGCAATGCCGCTGTCCGAGGAACCCTGGCGGCCGACCTCCTGCAGCTGCCGGGGCCGCAGGGGCTTAGGGGGAGGCTGGGAGCTGCCAGATCCAGCCTCCCCTGAGGCTGAGGCCTCACCCAGGTGCAGGGATCTCGACGTGGCCAGCCCCTCCTGCGACGTGCTGGCCGAGGATGAGGATGGCTCTGGCCAGGGCGTCAGCCGGCTGCTGGCACTGACATCCGAGTGGCTGGCCTCGGACGAAGAGCTGGACAGGCTGCGGTCATCCCCTGGGGTGAGAGAGCATCTGTGTGGGAGGCTGGGCTGGGCAGGGAGGGCCCAGGGTGCACACAGGGTCGGGGTGGGGCCTTCAGAAGGACCAGCAGCTTCAGGGGGAGTCTGGTTGGGACACAGCGCTGCAGGGCCCAGAGGACTCGGGCCGGCGGGGGGCAGGTCTGGGTGGGCTCAGGGTGAGCTGGGGGTCCTGGGGGACCCCTCCTAGAGAGGGTCAAGCAGGGCTTGCAGCGGCTTAGGAGGTGAGTCCAGGGCAAGGACGGGTGGGCTGAGAAAGGCCCAAGCGGTGAAGAAGCTGCTCACTCTTTTCCCAGGGCCCCCTCCTCCTCCCACAGCCCCCTGAGCCTTCCTGTCCCACTCTGGAGCCTCCAGCCTCCTCCCTCCTAGGCCCTCTCTCTCTCCCCAGACTCCTGTCGCCCCAGATCCCTCCCTCTCTCCTCAGCCCCTCTTGTCTCTCCTCTTTTTCTTCCCAGCCCCCTCTGTCTCTCTCCTGCCCCCTCTCTCCAGCCCCTTCTCTCCACCCCCTTTCTCCAGCCTCCTCTCTCCAGCCCCCTTCCTCTCTCCAGCTCCCCCTCTCTCCCAAGCCCCCCACCTCCTGCCAGCTCCTACTGTCTCCCCATCCTCCTCTCTCTCCCCAGTCCCCTGTCCCCAGCTCACACCAACCTCTGCTGCCCGGCCGTCCTGAGTGGGACAGGAGGCTGAGCCGCTTCTCCAGCTGCAGGGTTTCCTGGGTGGCTCGATCCTCCATGGCCAGTGGACCCCCAGGGCTCGGGTCTGTGGAAGGGGACAGTCAGAGGAGGCCCCCCACCTCCAGCCCCAGCCCCTCTCCACACCCACAGGACCCTTCAGGACGAGGACTCAGGGTGTGAGGACTCCAGCTCCAACGTAAGGTCCAGGCGAGAGGCAAGCCCTCACCTGGACCCCAGATAACGGATCTCTCACTCAGGTACCCCAGATCACTCCCCCACCCAGGCCCCAGGCTCCAGGTTCCTGACCTGGCTGACCACACACCCCAGGACTGGCCCCTGTGTGGGCATGGCCCAAACCCCCCACGTAGAAGGGCCCACCCTACTGGACCCCCTGAATCCCAGCTCTGACTGTTGTCACCAGGCCACTTGCCGCCCTGCCACCTCCAGTGCCACCCTGCCTCCCAGCTGGCTCAGCCTCATCCTGCCCATTCGTCCAGCAGAGCTTGTGCAGGCATCCAGTCCTCCCTCCTGTGGCCTCACATCCACACACAGGGGACGCCGCGTTCTGCCCTGGGGGCTCCCTCGCCTGACAGTCTCCCCGCCCCCTTTCTGACCAGAGAAACCACTTTCTATGGCTATGTCTGTGACTGCCAGCAGAGGGCGCGGCTGCACTTCCTAAACGGAGTCTCGGCCGTCCAGCCAGGAGCCGGCGTACCCAGGAGCCTGCACCCAGGAGCCTGCACCCAGGAGCCCTCACGCCCAAGAAGGATCCTGCACCCAGGAGCCTGCACCCCGGAGCCTGCATCCAAGCCTGCACCCCGGAGCCTGCATCCAAGCCTGCACCCCGGAGCCTGCATCCAAGCCTGCACCC